TCGCCAGCGGTCTGGAAGCGGTCGCTGCGGGTATTAATCAGCCGACGACAGCGCCCATCGCCGAGGAGTCCGATGAGGAGCAGGAGTTGGATGAGAGCGGTGTGGAGGCCAAGGATATAGAGCTGGTTATGAGTCAGGCCAACGTGAGCCGCGCGAAGGCCGTGAAGGCCCTCAAGAACAACAACAACGACATCGTGAACGCCATTATGGAGCTGACGATGTAGTGGCGGGTGTGATATCGTTGGCCAACCCTTTCCCCTCCCTATCTATCACCCGTCTATTGACTACCTGTCCATACATTACAATGAATTTAGTGTGTATTTTGCTCTGATTTTTAATTATAAACTCATTATAAACCGCATGATTATCGGCCGACCCGTCGGCTAACTGTTATGTGTTAATTGACTGAGCGTTTAGTTTCAGCGCTATATTTGTAACGAAAATTGCAATGAGTTTTAATAAATTTTGTTTTTTAATGTAGTCTTTGGTTGTATTTTTGTTATTTACAGATTATGTATAGTTTTAATTAAACAAATAGTGGTTATAAATGTTAATAACAAACCAATTTACACATTCATACACTAGTTTTTGTATAGTAGTTGTCATTGATTTTTATACCGGTAGTTAGTTTAATTATTATAACTTGGTATTTCTATACAATAATTATAATTACTAATTATTAGTAAATTACAGTATAGTGTAGATGTAGTTATCATTAGATGGTATGTCCATGACTTCCCTCATGAGCGGCCCGACCTCTCTCGGGTCGCGTGATCTCTCGATTTTCAATTGAATTTCGCACAAAGTGTTTACATCGTGTAAAGTGTCTAATATCTGCTTAAATCTAGTGTTGGCCTCCGTTTCGGATCCGTATTTAATAGTCAAATAGCGTTTAAGTAAATACATATACAATCGCTGTTGAAGTCTATGAGACAATTAGTTAATTGCAATTGATATTAATATTTACTTATTAATTATTATTAATAAGTTATTTACTTTACTAAGTCTTTATACATGAGGTTTGGTCGCTCGGGATTGAAAAGTAGGATCGGTATTAACTGTAATTATATGTTTAGTTAAATAATTAATTGTTAGTTTTTACTAGTTAAGATTTACTACCAATTGAATTATATAATGATCGGAGTCCATGATATGTGCGATATTATACAATAAGCGTTTGGCCGCCTTATAAGCGTTGCCTGGAATTTGTTTAAATACATCCACATTATGCACATATACTGTGCCGTCGTCCTAAAGGTATGATAATTGCAATACTATTCACAATCCCATAAATGAATAACCACTACAATCATTTATACCATGTTTCTATTATACCAACACTGGTTACCATAATCATAGCGAAGGCCGAACTTATACAACATCAGGGCCTCACGGGTTCCCGGCTTGAAGAGTGCCATTCGGTCGCTGTCGCAGACGGACCGGAATGTGTGCAAACTCTTGCACACGTTTACCATCGCTTTGAAGTCGCTCTCCATCCTCGTCGCCGCTGATTGTTTGACCTCTTCGAAAGTCTTGAGCTCATGGATGGCCACGGGATCTATATTCACATGTAGTTGACTGATGGCCGACAATAGTTCGCTGAAGAATTGGTGTTCGGAAGCGTTGAAGTTATTGTTGATCACAAGTCTGACCACTGGAATGAGCGCCGATTCATACCCTGAGTCGATACTATGGCACCCATCACTTGAGTTACTCGTATCGGTCGCGAAGACTTCGTGGTCTACACTCTGCGGACAAGTTGTCCAGTCATTGATTTCGGTATTCCATACATCAATCTTCAGATTATTGTCTTCATCGGGCGATTCACTGGACACGCTTCTAGTCTCGAGTTTGTCACTGCATTTGTCGGCATTTTTATTCCTCTTCAGTCGTTTGAGACGCCTTTCCTCTTTTTGCTCGTCATTTAGTATCCAATCCTAGCGTTAAATATAATTAGTTTTTCGTATTAATTTATACACAGATTAGTTGATCCCAAGAAACCTCTTTCATTCCCACAGCGAAACACTTTTCCAAACGACAGGTTCGGCAAAACTTTCGTGTATTTAAACCGATCTGACATTTCTTAATATAAAGACAGACGTATTCCTGTGTATAGAAAATATAATTAGTTATTAATTATAATTGCAATTAATTTCGGACACAATTACCTCACGTTTTGCGGCGTTTCTCCGGAAAAATGCTTTACATGACTCGCACGACACGGACCCGAAGTTTTTGCCTAAAGTTACATTTTTAAATTATTATCAATGATTATGGTAACTAAATCACTTTTAACTGAATTGTATACCAATGGCTCCGTCGCCGCAAATCAGACATATTTTGTCTTTACTTAAAGGTTTTTTAGCAGACATTATATGATAAGAATTTAAACCAATATATTATGAACATGGTCATTTCATGATTAACAATTTAGTTGGTACAATGATGAAAATTACAATGTAATAGAATATTATTGCTGTTAACTTAATGTACAAATATACAATGTAATTAAACTATGCAATTTCATTGCTATGGCTCACAGAGACGGAGCAAAAATCTCTTCAATCAAGGTTATTTACAGTGCACATTAAAATCTATAGATTTTTTATTCAATTGTTTACATAATATAATTAATATATTTATAAATTATACATAATGATTATTAAATATTAAATTTTATAACAGACATAAAACATTACAATTATTGATTGTGAATCAGTACTAAATTATTTTATATGAATATTATTATATTGTAAACTAGTATGACACAACATCGATTTGTAATTATCAAAGCTAACCTATTAGTGCAAGTTTTCATCATAGTTAACAATTTCGAAAAACAGGTTTAAAACATAATTATAACATGTTTAATGTTATGCTTAATGAACTCTCTCTCTCTCTCTCTCTCTCCCTCCCTCTCTCTCTCTCTCTCTCTCTCAAGACAATTAAAAAATGAATAGTTGACAAAATTGGCATTTGAATATAAAATTTAAAAATTGTACTTGATTATGTGCAAACAATTAATTAAAATTTAGTAATTGTTATGATTGGATGGCATATCAAAGTACTCCCTGAGTAGAGGTCCCTTTATTCTCTTTCTTTCGGTACTCGACTTGAAATTCAAACAATTTGTTTAAATCTTGTAATGCATTCAATATCAGCGCAAGTGTTGCCAGAAGTGCTCCCGGAATAGTTTTTTGTACAGTATTTGTAATTGATTTTGTAATTAATTTAATTGTTATAACTTGATATTTCCATACAATTTATAAATTACAGTATAGTGTAGATGTAGTTATCATTAGATGGTATGTCCATAACCTCCCTCATGAGCGGCCCGACCTCTCGCGGGTCGAGTGATCTCTCGATTTGCAGTTGAATTTCACACAAAGTGCTTAAATCGTGTAAAGTGTCTAATATTTGCTTAAATCTAGTGTTGGCCTCCGTTTCGGACCCGTATTTAATAGTCAAATAGCGTTTAAGTAAATACATATACAATCGCTGTTGAAGTCTATGAGACAATTAGTTAATTGCAATTGATATTAATATAATGGATAATAAGTTATTATTATTAATAAGTTATTTACTTTACTAAGTCTTTATGCGTGAGATAAATACATATACAATCGCTGTTGAAGTCTATGAGACAATTAGTTAATTGCAATTGATATTAATATAATGGATAATAAGTTATTATTATTAATAAGTTATTTACTTTACTAAGTCTTTATGCGTGAGATTTGGTCGCTCGGGATTGAAGAGTAGGATCGGTATTAACTGTAATTATATGTTTAGTTAAATAATTATGTGTTAATTATTAATCATTAAGATCAGTGTTAATTGTTAGGTTTACTACCAATTGAATTATATAATGATCGGAGTCCATGATGTGTGCGATATTATACAATAAGCGTTTGGCCACCGTATAAGCGTTGCCCGGCATTTGTTTCAATACATCCAGTTTGAGCACATATACTGTGCCATCGTGCTAAAGGTATTATAAATTTAATTACAATACTGTTTACCATCTTATAAACCACTATCATTCATACCATGTTTATATTCCAACACTGGTTACCATAATCATAGAAATGGCCAAAACTATAGAACATTAGCGCCTCACGGGATGCCGGCTTGAAGAGTGCCATTCGGTCGCTGTCGCAGACGCACCGGAATGTGTGCAAACTCTTGCACACGTTTACCATCGCTTTGAAGTCGCTCTCCATTCTCGGCAACACTGATTGTCTGAACTCTTGGAAAGTCTTGAGCTCATGGATGGCCACGGGATCTATATTCAGATGCAGTTGACTGATGGCCAACAATAGTTCGCTGAAGAATTGGTGTTCCGAAGCGTTGAAGTTATTGTTGATCACAAGTCTGACCACTGGAATGAGTGCCGATTCATACCCCGAGCCTAAGCTATCGGTGCCATCAATTGAGTTACTCGTGTCGGTCGCCAAGACTTCGTGGTCCATACTTTGCGGACCAGTTGTCCAGTCATTGATTTCGGTATTCAAGACATCAATCTTGAGATTATTGTTTTTATCGACGGATTCATTAGACGTATGTTTGGTCTCGAGTTTGTCTTCGCATTTGTCGGCATTTTTATTCCTCTTCAGTCGTTTGGCCTCTATTTTGAGACGCCTTTCCTCTCTTTGCTCATCATTTAGTATCCAATCCTAGCGTTAAATATAATTAGTTTTAGTATTAATTGATTAACAAATTAGTTGATCCCAAGAAACCTCTTTCATTCCCACATCGAAACACTTTTCCAAACGACACGTTCGGCAAAATTTTCGTGTATTTAAACCAATTTTACATTTTTTGATATAAAGACAGACGTATTCCTGTGTATAGAAAATATAAGTAGTTATTAATTATAATTGCAATTAATTTCGGACACAATTACCTCACGTTTTGCGGCGTTTCTCCGAAAAAATGCTTTACATGACTCACACGACACGGCGCCGAAGTTTTTGCCTAAAATTACATTTTACAAATGTCATTAATGACCATGGTCACACTAATTTGTAATAATAAATATGTCATATTTGTTCAACATTTAAAACTTTTATAACTATTATTTCCTTATACTGTATTATTAGGGATACAAATATTGCTATTTATAACATTTACAATAATTAATTATATCCTTATTTATAATTTATAACTTTTAGTAAATTGTATTTTATAGAAAATTACTGCACATAATTTACCATAAAAATTACAAATATGATTTTGATTGTAGAACTTGGTTAATAATGATAATTTTTACGACAGCAATAAAATATAACTATTAATAAATATGAACAAATAAATAACTTAAAGTGAAAAAATAAAATTACATAATTATTCAATGTTTTAAAATAATTTATAACTAAATTGATAACTAAATGAGTGAATTACATACCAATGGCTCCGTCGCCACAAATCAGACATATTTTGTCTTTACTTAAAGGTTTTTTAGCAAACATTATATTATAAAAATTTGAACTAATATATGATGAGCATGTCATTTCATGATTTACAATTTAGTTAATATAATGATGGAAATTACAATATAATAGAATATTATTGTTGTTAACTTAATGTACAAATATAATCAAACTATGCAATATTATTGCTATGGGTTACCACTATATCTAATTAAATCACTCTCGCTCACAAGAGACAGCGCATAAAACTGATCTCTTTAATCAAGGTTATTTACAGTGTACATTAGAATCTATACATAATAATTTAGATCTTTTATTCAATTGTTTACACTCGCGTTGGGCGCAATTAATATACTGACCCTTGCCTGGTATGTTTGGAGTCACTTTAGTGTTGGAAAATATCATAATCTTAAGTTTGGGGTTCGTTTCGTTGGCAGTAATTTATAGTCTTATATTTACTCGCGTTGGGCGCAATTAATATACTGACCCTTGCCTGGTATGTTTGGAGTCACTTTAGTGTTGGAAAATATCATAATCTTAAGTTTGGGGTTCGTTTCGTTGGCAGTAATTTATAGTCTTATATTTAATTTTAATGTAATTTTCTGTGTTATTCTCAATATTTTACAAGCTAATTAAATATTATCTTTTAATAAATTACTGCTAACAAAACAAAACCCAAACTTAAAATTATGATATTTTCCAACACTAAAGTGACTCCAAACATACCAGGCAAGGGTCAGTATATTAATTGCGCCCAACGCGAC